CTCTCTTCTGTCTCTTTTATCTCTCTCCTGGGCCATAAACAGGGATCTGACCCAGAGCTTACAGTCCCAGGTCAGTAAGTTGGTCCGTCCAATTAAAGGGTGACGTCTCCCTCACACTCCACCGAGCAGACCCCCCCCCCACACACACACACACACACACATCCCCCGGCCGGCCTTACATGGAGGAGCTGGCATCAAAGGAGAAAGGGAGGCTGAGCCCACCAAAAGAGGCAAAGAGGGCGCAAACCAGGACTTTTTTAAATGGTTTTAACAAACTGAATCTGTATCTGAACCTCGTCTAAACGGCTTTGAGAGCAATCACTTATTCGGTAATCGGGGAGAAAAAGGGGATTTGATAATTAGCCATCTCATCTTAATTGCTTTCAGGTGATTGATTGATTCATATAGACCTTAAAAACAACCAACCAAGGGGACCGAAGCACTTTACAGTAAAAGTTACACCACAAAGAGGTGACGTCACTAAAAAAAAAGCTAAAGTCTTTAGCTTAGACTACAGGAGTCCCCTTAAGGTCTGAAGTCAAATGAAGATCTAAAGGGAAGTTGTTCCTCCCTTTAGCTTGAAGCTGGACTTCCGAGTTGAGATAAATAAGGCGGGGCTAGTCCATTTGAGACTTAAAAATAAACATTTCGATTTTAAAGTCGATTCTAAATTGAAGGGGGAGTCTGGAGCTGTTGGTTAAAAGACTGATGGACACCAAGATAGAGTCCATTACAATAATAACAGCTCACCAACGGGCTTCTACAAGTCAAACGCAGACGATAAAAATCCAGATTTGACTCCAGAGTTGATTTGTTTATGGAGTTAAACTCTTGGTGGGATATTCCCCCCCAGTTTTTAAGTGTTTTACTTAACTAAAAAGGCAGAGTCGCCAAATACAAAGCATTCAGTCTGATGGTTTAAAAATAAATAAATAAATAAACCCTCTCACTGCTGTTTATTAGTGGTCATTAGTGGTCACTGACTGGGCGGCCCCCTCTCTCCGGGGGCCTCAGAGGAGGTGAGCCGGGGTCAGACCACCTCCTCCCACCGGCATTGAGACTATAGCCGAGGGGGGGGGGGCTTTAATGGACCCCAGACTGGCATCGAGAAGGAAAGGTGGACAGCAGAGGGAGAGTTATCAAACAGGAAGTGACCGACCAGCCGGAGATCTGCCCCCAGGTACAACCTCAAAACTGTTTTAAAAAAGGCTGAGATGCTTTGTGAAACGCCCAAAAAATGCTGAAAATGATCCGTAATAAAAACATTTCAAAACCACCAGCTCCACCAGATCAGGCTTTATTAGGAATGATTTAGTATTATTAGAATTATTTATTAAGAATTCAACTAACTGCGGCCATTTTCTTAAATCTCAGATCTCTTAAATCTTCCTGGAATAGATTCAGCTCCACTCAGATATGGGACCGTTTCGTTATCTCCACTAAATGTTTAGCTGACGTAACATTTAACTCTTAGGTAAATCTGTACAATCACTT